TGGAGGTGGGCATTAATGCATTATGTGTGGTTGAAGACAAAGAAGAAAGAAAGATTTGTTGAAATGGGGAGTAATTTACCAACATATATAACAAAAAAAATATCCATTCCTGGCAGTGTAAGTCAGACATTTTTTTCCTTTTTTTCCTGGTAGTGCAGGACGGATTTGGCTACTCCGTTTCAACTTGAAAATTTTAAATGAAACGGAGTAGCCAAATCCGTTTCACTCTATTTAAAAAAAAACTTCAAACGGATTAGGGATATCCGTTTCAATTGAAATTAAAGCTAGTTACGGAGTAAAGTAATCCAAGTAATCCGTTTGCTCTCTTCTTCTTATCTCCTTTCTCTCTTTAGTTTTTATCTCCTTTTTTATTTAGTGTTTTTAGTTTTCTTTATGTTTTTTTAGTGATCTTTATGTCTTTTAGTTTTTAATACATTGAATTTTTTTACTTTCTTTTTTCACTTTAACTTTTTCAACACATTTATTTTAAATTTAAAAAATGTACTCTAAATTATACTCCCTCCACCCCAAAAAGATCTATCCATTTCATTTTTTGCGCATATCATAAAACAATTTTATCTCATCTCAAATGTCAAAAAAATATAAAACAACTTCTACCTGCAATAAAAGGTAAATATGGTAAATTTTAGAAATTTTTGATATGCATAAGAGTGTTTTATGAGATGTGCAAAAAATGAAATGGGTAAATCTTTTTTGGACGGAGGAAGTAATATACTACAAGGTACAATTTACTCTCCCGGTTCAAAAGAGATTTTCCTGTTATACACATTATAATATTTCTAAGTATTTAATCGATTTCTAAGTATAACATTTAATTATTTTATTATAAATAATTTCTAAGTAACAAAAATTAATTGATTTCTTTCAGAAACTAAAAATTATAATATTTCCTCCATCTTTAAATAGATTACAATTTTTTTTCTCTCTCTTCTCGATAAGTTTTATTTATTTACGCGATTTCATTAAGTATTTGATTAAATAAAATATTCTTCTCACCTCTTGTTTTATAGAACTTTTAACGTAGTTTTTTAATATGTAATTTTTAAGGGATATCGTTGTTCTATGCTACTATGATAAATTGGTCACACTTTTTTCTGAGAGGCATACAAATGGATATGTTTGACTGCAATCTGGATATAATTTTCCTATGAATGGTGGAAACATATTAGGAAAAATAAAGTAAATAGATATGTTATTAATTTAAGTTATAATATGGACTATCGACCACGGAGACATCACAACAAGGAATAGATATGTTATTTATTTCATTTATGTCTGAGTTTATGTATTATTAATTTCACAAAATAAATTTTTCATGGATTGTGTTTTGTAATCTTCATTTTTGGAATAAATTATATGTATTCTAGCAATAAATTTACACCTTGGTTCCCATGACATTGGGAACCAATGTCATGGCATGACCCCGGGGGCGCTCCGGTGCCCCGTTCGTAAAATTGACGGTTCTTACCCCTACCCCCCGGCAAATCGCCCCACCCCGCCCCGCCTCGAACAAACCCCTCCACCCCGCCCCGCCTCGACTTGTGGGGTGCAATTGGAGGGGGTGCGGGGGTTTGTTCGAGGCGGGGCGGGGTAGGGGGTTTGCCGGGGGGTTAGGGGGTAGGAACCGTCAATTTTATGAACGGGGCACCGGAGCGCCTCTGGGTCATCCCGTGACATTGGTTCCCAATGTCATGGGAACCTTCCCCATAAATTTATTATATTTTTTCTTCTTCTTTTACTTATGTTGTATAAAGTTCACTTAAAGTCAATAAACAGTAGTTTTATTTTTAAATTATATTATACAGTATATTTTAAATTAAAGAAGTGTATTGGATAATGTGTAAAAATGAAATTGGACAAAAATTGAGGATAGATGGAGTATAATTTATTTATAAGTGACAAAAATTACTTGAACAAAAAAATTTTAAGCTAATAAAAATTGGAACAAAAAAGTGAAAGGAAGTAGTGGAATGAATTAGCCAAACAAAAAAATGCAATTGTAGAACCGAGAAGCAAAACAAGTAAAGCAACAAAAAAATAAATACTTGAACGGATTAGCCAAATCCGTTTGGCAACTAAATCAGAAATACTTACTCCGTTTGAATAAATAATAAACCAAGAAAACGGATTAACCTACTCCGGGTGGTTTTATTTGGGAAATGACAAAATAAATCTGCTTATAAAGGAATGCATTACACTTCTTTTACATAAACAGGGAAATCACCCGTTGAAATGGGGTTGACGTTATAGAGTAAGTAGAACAAGAGGACAATATTTAGAAAGTTAACATACTTTACTTTAAAAAAATTTATGTCAAATCAAAGTAAAAAATTCCTATTTATTAGGCACAAATGACTTTTTTTTATTACCCCACAAGCTCATACTCCCTTCGTCCTGGAGTATTCGTCCAGTTTTTACTTTTGGAACTGTTCATCTAAGCACTTTGACTTATCAAATTCTCTCAATGTGTAAGCCTAAATATAGTCATGTGTGATCTTGTTTGATTTGTCTTAACATATAGATTATTAATATATAATTTCTATAATTTTTTAATATACAAATTACAAGATAAAATGGATTAAAGAAGTATATTGATAGTGTGTAAAAATGAAAGTGGACAAATACTCTGGGACAGAGTTAGTATTTATTACTATTCACGATGGAGTAATGGACCTTAGGTCTTTGTTGTTGAAGACAAATACTCCCTCCGTCCCAGAGTATTTGTCCACTTTCATTTTTACACACTATCCAATGCACTTCTTTAATCCATTTTATCTTGTAATTTATATATTAAAAAGTTATAGAAATTATATATTAATAATCTATATGTTAAGACAAATCAAACAAGATCACACATAACTATATTTAGGCTTACACATTGAGAGAATTTAATGAGTCAAAGTGCTTAGATGAACATTTCCAAAAGTCAAAAGTTGACGAATATAGCGGGACGGAGGTAGTAACAATGAAAGATTTGTTGAAATAGAAAGAGGGGGGGCATGGGGTTGAGGTTGCAGAATAAGAAGAACAAGAGGACAAAATTAAAAAGTTACTCTCTCCGTCTCAATTTATAGTGCATGTTTCAGTTTACGATATTTGACTGAAATTATTTTCAAATCATTTTATATGACAAATGGTATAGAGTTAAAAAAAAATAAAAATCACATATTAAAATACTACGGAGTACACATCATATCGAAAGATCTGCAAAACTAGCAGTGATAATAGTACTTTATTTTATCAAATTGCTAACAAAAATAGAGAAAAAAATGAATGCAGTTTGACTCTATGAATAGTAAACATGCACTATAAATTGGGACGAAGGGAGTAAAACACTTCACATTAAGGTTTGGTACACGAAATTCTCTGTAATGGTTTGGTACACAATATTTAAACTGTTGAATTAGAATTTGGGGACAACAATTTTAATTCTGCTAATTTGTGGCACAAAAATATGTGAATTTGGAATAGATAGTGCTAAAAGTTAATTGGAATTGAAAAACTCAATTCCATCCAAATCAATTCTATAAAATTTCAACTTACAATTCAATTCTAATTTCATCAATTGCATCTAGCACCCTAAAAAGTATGTCAAATCAAAGTAAAAATCCTTACTTATTAGGCGCAAGTAATTTTTTAAATTATCCTCCCAGCTAATCTTTATTTTATGAGAAACCACGCCAGTCTCCACATGGAGTAAACCTCTCCACTAAATGTATTACTCCCCTCATCCCTAGAAAAAATATCAAATTATATTACCATTGACATAGATCAAAATTTGATTTTTTGTTACATATTTTTATTAATTATTTGACAAAAAAAGTTATTTTATCTTTTGTTAAATGGAACATTGGATGTAAATTTAAATATGCAACCTTTTAAGTTTTATATCAAATTTGAAATAAAAAAATTAAGAATTAGTTTAATCATATACTCCGTATCGTATACTAAAAAACCTTTTTATACGAGGGAAGAAGTATTGTTTTTAGGTTGTTTCTAGGATGCCCAAGGAAATAAGAGGGCATGCATGCCCCTCCATTAAATTGATGCCATGTGGACATATGACCATCTCATCTAGTAATCCCTCCACTTAATTTTAATTACCAAAAATTGCAATTGACCTTGTCTTCTCTAATTCATTAAAATTGTTAACTAACTACCGTTAACTTGTTGCCTTCGTCTAATACATTTTTTTCATTCTATTTTTTTATTAAAAGTATGGTTAATATTTTTTTAAAGAAAACACGGTTAAATTAAAAAAATGCTTAATAGAGTAATGGTTTTAGGCCCCGTTCCGTTCAACTTATTTTTTCTGCTTTTTTGTTATTCTTATTAAAATCAGATCAGACCAGATCAGATCTAACCAGATCAGAATAGACCAGATCAGATCGAATCAAATCAGATCAGATCCAATCAGATCAGATCAGATCTAATCAAGAATTATTATTATTATTGTTATTATTATTTTATTATTATTATTATTCATATTCTTAAAAATGAAAAATAATAAACTTTAGAAACAAGTTAAATAGAAAACTGAGAAAGTAATCCTTAATTATTAGACGTCGGAAAAATTATTTTTAAAATACATTGACAAACTCAATCTAAATCTACTTTTAAAATACATTTTTATTGCTACCTGTAATTTGAGTTTCTAAAGCTCTGATCTTTTACTACATTGAGTTGATCAACTTTGATCATGACTTAAATAAAACTAACATTTTGTTAGAGATAGAAGAAGGAAGCGGTATTGAAGAAGGAAAGTGTTAGAGATAGAAGAAGGAAGCGGGATTGAAGGAGGAAATCGAATCCCTTTGGGATTAGGTTTAGTATCTTTCCTAGTTGGATTAGGTTTATTATTTAGTATCTTTCCTAGTTTGTTTAATTCTTATTTTAGTAGGAATAGAAATTTCCTTGTTTACTTTACCCTCTTCCTATATAAAGAGGGTTAGATCTTTGTATTCAGAACAAGTTTCACAAGAGAGAAATACAGAGAATTTCCTCCCAAATAATTCTTTCATGGTATCAGAGCCAGTTTTGAATTCTTGAGACCTCAAACATGCTTCTTCCCCTGCCGGTGGGCATACACAATTCAATGCCTACCGGCGGGATATTGTGATTTTTTTATTTTTTATTGTCCTCCTTCATTCTTGAAGAAGTGGTCGGACAAGGGTTGTTCTACAGAGAGAAACAACTCTTTCCGCGTCTACTGTTCACCATCGACCGGCATCGCGCCCATCGATCGTCGCCTGTTGTTGCTGAAGTGCCGGAACGGTCGACCGTTGCTGAAGACCGGTCGAGTGGGTCGACCGTCCCGACAGCAGTTTCTCTTGATCGCGGTTACTGTTCACGATCGCCCGGCATCGCGTCCATCGATCGTTGCTCAGTTTCTGTGGTTTGGAGCAGTTCCCAATTTGTACGTGTAGGAATTGCACGTGGGACCTACCGGAGAAGCTTGCGCAGATGCGCAAACTGAGGAAACGTTTCTTGCAAGTTTGGAGCAGTTCCCAATTTGTACGTGTAGGAATTGCACGTGGGATCTGCCGGAGAAGCTTGCGCAGATGCGCGAACCAAGGAAACGTTTCTTGCAGGTTTGGAGCAGTTCCCAATTTGTACGTGTAGGAATTGCACGTGGGACCTGCATAGAAGCTTGCGTAGATGCGCGAACTGAGGGAATGTTTTTTTTGTCCAAGCTGTGCATGTTGAACTCCCATGCTCCAGCTTGAGGGGGGGTGTTAGAGATAGAAGAAGGAAGCGGTATTGAAGAAGGAAAGTGTTAGAGATAGAAGAAGGAAGCGGTATTGAAGAAGGAAACCGAATCCCTTTGGGATTAGGTTTAGTAACTTTCCTAGTTGGATTAGGTTTATTATTTAGTATCTTTCCTAATTTGTTTAATTCTTATTTTAGTAGGAATAGAAATTTCCTTGTTTACTTTACCCTCTTCCTATATAAAGAGGGTTAGATCTTTGTATTCAGAACAAGTTTCACAAAAGAGAAATATAGAGAATTTCCTCCCAAATAATTCTTTCACATTTGATATTCATATATGGAGTATATTTTAGTATAACTGAAATAACTATTATATCTATGGTGTATATTAATCATAAAAAAAGTTTCGTAGTACAAAGCACATGCTGATATTTTATAAGGATGAGATATTTTAATAAAAATAATATCTCTTATCTATATTAATTATCTAAATTTAATTACTTTTTAATTTATACATGAATTAAATATTTATTCTAATGTATATGTGAACTAATTATTAAAATATTAAATCAATTTCTTATTTCATAAAAAAATAATCATAAAATAAAAACTATTATTACATTATAATATAAATGATTATTCTAATATATGAATTAACTAATTTTATTTCACTAAAAAATATTCATAAAATAAAAAATTTTGATTATATTATAATATGAATTATTATTACAATTTTCAAACGTTATTATAAAGTCAAATCAAAATATTGATTTGAATTTTAAATCAAATCATAATTAATCAAATCAGATCACACTAGATTAGATCAGATCCAATCAAATCAGATCAGATCAATATTGACTAAAACATTTTTGTTTTTTTCTTTCTAAAATAAATAGAATTTTTTTATACATTTAAAAACGAAAACAAGGAATAGGGAAAGAAAATAAAAACAAAACAGGAAAACACAATAGAAAAATGATATGAAAAATAAAAAAATACACTTATAGAAAAAGAAATCCAAATAAGGTTCTTTTTAGGGTATATTTTGGGACGTTACATCAACATTTAACTTATAATTATATAAAAGTTATATGTTATATTAATTAGATAAAAAATCAAAAGGGAAAAATCATACAGAATAATCCTAACTTTATCCAATCTTTCAAAAGTAATTACACATTTCACTATGATGAATAATAAACCCAACTTTACTAAAATTTGTAAATTTTTGGTCGCCGTTAAGTTACGATCGGTGGGTTAACGAAAACGGCCTGTTTTGTGCCACAAAAATTTACCAAAAATAATTTCAACTTTCATTTTGTTGCGCAAAACAGGTTGTTCCGTTAACGCACAGTTAACAACTTAACGGCGGTCCAAAACTTACAAATTTCAATAAACTTGAGATTATTATACATTACAGTGGAAGGTAGAATTATTTTTGAAAGACGGAGTAAGGTTGAGATTATTTTGAATAATTTTTCCTTTTATCATACAAGATAAATCTAATAAAAATATTTTGAATAACATTTGAGTGCATCTGATATTAAATAATTTAATTTAAATAAAAATTAGTAATAAATAAGAAAAAATAAATTAAACAAAATGCAACCAATGAAAAAAAATGAGTGATTAACTTCTTTTTTTGAAAGCATAAAACTGAGAAATAAAATTTGATAATGGAATAGGAGTAGATGACGGAAGAACTAACGCTAACAAGAGGCACAAGACAAGGCCTTACTACAATTTTTTAAATTTAAAATGAAATGAAGTTTTTACTTAATCAATCCACATGGCAGCAATTTAATAGACTCTCATTTACCTGGGCATCAGAGAAATATCCTTGTTTTTATTGTTTGTTATAATGTTAGGGCTGTTTGGGAATAGCTTTAGCGATTAGCGTTAGCGTTTTCAAAAAGCTATCTACGGGCAGCTTTTAGCGTTAGCGTTTTCAAATTAATCTGCACCGTTAAAATTTTATCCAAAACGCTGATGCTAATCGCTAAAGCTATTCCCAAACAGGCCCGTTATTAATTGTTACTCCGTATCAAATTTGTGAACTGATGGGGAAATGGACCCTTTTGAACTGGAAAAATGAAGATTGATTAACTATGATTAATGGACCGAGGCCCAATATAAAGGCCTTTTGACCTGAAAAAAATGTACTCCGGGGCCCTTCCACAAACGGATCCATCTCGCAACTAAATTAAAGGTATAGTACTATAGTTCAAATTACGAGGTAAAATTTTACATTTTTTAAAGCTAACTTATTTAATTTAAAAATTAATATTAAACTAAAAGTGAAATTTACATATTTAAAAATTTCATAAAAATTTTTCAAACAAGAGTGATATCATTTATCAATTTATTGGATTGAATTGATTCCAATTTCAATAACGAAAATTTATATATTTCAAAAGGACTTATAAATGTATTCAGTATTTAGCCCAATTATCCTAAATTATTTATAGTCAAAAGAAGTACGGCCTGAGTTTGTGCGCCTTGTCTATTGGTTATTGGGCTAGTCGGCCACAAGACATGTTGGAGTCAAATGCATCAGGCAAATTGCGCGGCCTCACATAGGAAAAAGTTCAATAATGACACCCACGTACACATTACTTTTATAGTCTATTCCCTTATTGAAAATTATACTCCCTCCGTCCCATAAAGTGTTATCCATTTTGACTAAAATTGAAATTAAGGGAGGGATAATTTTGTGTTGACTTTCCAAAAATACCCTTGATGTGATGGGTAAAAGTAGGATGTGATGTGTAGATTATTAGGAAAAATGTATGATGTGATAGGTAGGGTTTGAAAAAGTAAGGGGTAAAAGTGGTTTTTTAATAAAAATGGATAAGAGATTGTAGGACACAATTTTTTTGAAACGTGTAAATCTTTTTAGAATCGAGGGAGTATTAGTTTTAAAATTGAACGCTCATGGCATGTGTTATGGGCGTACCACGCAAATGCGCACAAACGGGAGTGTGACCCCCACGTTATGTTTGGCTCACCAAACTTTTAACAATTATAATCAATCAAATATTTTAGTGTGAAAAGTGACACATTAAGAAATGGAATTCATGTAACTCAATAATTGAAATCATCAAGCATTCACGAGCATGTAAATTTTTTATATATAAAAAAATATATCTGAAAAAATACTCTTTCCATTTCAAAGAATTAACTTTTATTATATTATATAGTCAAACAAATTTTTCTTTTATTTATTTACTTTAATTATACCAGAGTAGAATGTTTCAAGTTATTTTAAAATATTTTAAAATATTATTTTTTTAATATTAATATTTAGATATATTAGTTATCACATTCAAAATAATTTCGATCAAATATCATAAACTAAAAATTAAAAATTACTTCCTCTGTCTACAAATTTTTTTCTCGTTCACTATTCACATGTTCAAACTTTATTCACCTTGTTTGTCTATTTTCGCTGCTCATTTTACAAAATAATATGATCATGTCAGATATATTTTTGTAGATCTTTTGATACTAATTAGATACCCTACAATCAGTTCTAACACCTTCACCCCCTGTGATGCTGCTCATCTTGATCATGGAATTTGCAAAGGCCTTAAAGAAAGCTTCTTGTGAGCTAGCATATTGCAAAACAAGGGCTCTAGTTTTGGGATTTGCAAGCAGGGCCTGGTCCGAGGAGAACAGACCCTTCCCTTGCAAAACCAGCTTGTAATAGTTATTGTCAAAGGTCGTTGAAGAAGGATCCATTCCCGTTCCGGCGTTCTTGGAATTGCCTCCCGGCGGACAAATGCGTCTCAGCTGGGCTGCCATGGCACGGTTGAGCGTGGGGTCCACGTCACTGGTTGCGTTGAAGTTGCGCAACCGATTGTTGAAGGATGAGCAATGGGAGAAACCTATCGTGTGCCCGCCTTCGATCAAACACACAACAAAAGTCTTAATATGGTATCGAAGTCATTTCAGTTCAAAATCAAGCGGTACCCAGAAATTTTACTTTTTTCAATGAATGTAATTAATATCTTGAGTTGGTTATTTTATGTTAAATGGAAGTCAAGACTTAGGTGTTGGAATATAAAAAGCTTTTAATTTGGAAGAACAATCAAAATATATTTGACCAAAACAAACATGTTTCGTATATTAAACGGTGGGGTTCTAGTGACACCGGAGTGCAATGACACTACGGTGCCACTGTCACACTTTCGGTAATCCGTTCGTACGGTTCCTAGTTCCTACTGTATATGAAGAAGTTAATTAATTACCTGAGAGAGCCACAAGGTCCTCCATGGAGAGACCTCTGAGAGAGAAGCTAAGGTATAGCTGAGAGAGGTTAAAGGCTGGGGCAGGCAATTGTATGGTTTCACTAGCTTTCGAAACCCGCCCATCTTTTCGTCCCTTTGGGACCTCCCAATAAGGCCCCCCTGCCTGCATTTAACAAACACCACAACAATTAGATTTATTAGTGTCCAATAAATTATCTAGTGGGCGTTGCCCGGTTGATTATTAAGGCAAGGAGTGTCAAGAAGGTAATAAGCGAGTTCGATTTCTGCTAAGTGCACTGGGAGGCAACTATGGTAGACATAGGGCCTCTGCAAGTACTAGATGCAGACTTCACTCTTTGTCACTAATCTGCGATCAAAGTCTAATTTATCTTCTTTCAGTGACCATCTGACCGAGTCTGAAGGGACCCTCGGGGATGAGGCTCATCCATTTTGATTGTCCAATAAAGATCTTGTTAAATGACCTTTTTTTGTTCAATAAATATCTTCTCATGATCTTTTTTTAATACTCCGTATTTAAAATGTTATAACTACCTTCAAATAGTATTTTAAAAATTTGGTAACGAGAATAAGGAAATGAAGTTTATAGAGTTTGACAGCGTGAATAGTGTACGAGAAATTTAAGTGAGACGGAGGGAGTAATTTTTTTAAACTTTGTTTCAAATGGGTCAAATTAATAATAAAACATTATGTTGGGTGGCATGCAAGTCTGAATTGACATTGGAGTGTTTCCTAAGCATGCATCCATTTTATATAGTCTTGATTAATTTGTTGAATTAAGCTTCGTGAGATTTAATTTGAACATATTTCTTGTCTCATCTAGAGGTGGACATACTTTCTACTTTGTTTGTACTCTCTTCCTTCCAATTTTTTTTGTCTCACTTTGAACAAAGAGTAATTAAACTTTATAAATAATCATCTAGTTTCAGTCTTTTATATGGAAAAATACTACTTTCTCTGTCGGACTTAGAATCGACACGTGTTATGAAAATCCAAATAATATGAGTCATAGAAAAATTTTCTTAGATGAAAATTGCACCCCTCTCTTAGACAAACGAAAAGGAAATAGAGAATGTTTTTATGAAGAGATAAAGTAACTAAGATCCTTAAGAATTTGGGAATTTTTACTCTCTAGTCTCTCCCATGTCTTTCTTTCTGTTGTGCAAAACGAAAAAAATTTCAAGTTTTTTAAATCTATTTAATTAAATATTGGTATAAAAATAAAAAATAAAATTTTTATATTTAGAAACTACATCAAAAGTTCTAGTAGACCAAAACCTGCTTGGATATCATTGGGATAGAGATCATTGGATTGAACTATAAAATACTTGGATTAAACCATATTAAAAGATTGAATCTAATCGATTAAAGAGGTTATAAATAATTTATACTCCCTCCGTCCCACTGTCTTTGTCCACTTACCTTTTGGCATACCATCCAATGCACTTCTTTAAAGGTAAAATAGAACATTAAACATATAATTTTTTAATATTTTTAATATATAATTATTAGATATACAATTCTGCTTAGTTTGTTCTAGTGTGTACTGATAAAAATCCGAATGTGTAACTCTCTTAAACTACTCAGTTTCACGAATCTACTTGTCAAGGTTTTCAGTTTTCACCTGTTTCACAATGGGACGGAGGTAGTATTCTTTTTAATGTTTCAATGTGGGATAAAAACTCTAACAAAATCTTGCATAAAATTTCATAAAATTATGGATTGGATGTGAAATATTTTCAATTATAATTAAAGAACATTTGTAGAATTTACTCTATAACAAGTCTTCAAATAAGCACATTCATACCACCACTTCAACCAAAATTTCAAATAAGTTTCAAACTTAAAAGAATCATTTAGCCAAATCGATCTACCCCCAAACTTCCAACCTGCTAAGAAAAAGATCACTTTTTTATTAGATTCTTCTTTTTCAGATGAATTGACTTTTCTCTTTTTCATATTTCAATGGTTCATCATTTCTCTTAAGATTTTAGCATCAGTTTTTTTAACTTTATTCCTGCAATATAACAATAATGGTATGTTGTCAATACGGCCGATGCTTGGCGTACAAAAATTAGACTTAAATTAACTAAGGTTTACACCAAACATTCAAATATTATCAAACTTTAAGAAAAAAGTTTTACTTTTATAAAACAAAAATAATATTCCATCCGTCCTTAAATGTTTACCATATTTTTAAAAACGAGATAAAATATCAAGTTTTTTCAATTCATTTTATTTAAATATTGATATAGATATAATGAATAAAATTTACATATTTCAAGACTACATTATATAAAAAATTTTGAAATAAGAGGTGTGACGAATATTTTATTTTATCAAATAGCTAATGAAAACGTATAAATAAATAAAAAATTTTATGATTATTTAAAAAGTAAATATGACAAATATTTTGAGGGACGAAGAAAGAAACTTATTTATGAATTGAGAATGATTATAAAAGCAAAACTTTTATCTCTTTGTTGCTAAGAAAGTGCCTAAGCTCTATATAAGAGGTTGGTTGAGATAACCATAGCCATATTATCATTATTAATTGGCAACTACGTTAGGTTTTTCACTATAATGCGCCTCCGGTATCTATTTCTATGTTCAAAAATTATCTTCTCGTTGCAAATTACGATATTTGGCTAAAGTTATTTTTAAATTATTTCATATGAATAATGATGTAGAACTAAAGAAATTACATATATAAAAACTAAATAAAAATCTATAAAACTAAAGGTGACATGAATATATTATTTTATCAAATGACAATGAAAATATGTCAACAAATTGAATAAAATTTAACCACCGAAAGATGATTTTAGACGGAGAGAGTATCAATTAACTCTATATATGTGTTCTCTCTTTATAAAAGTAAAGATATCCTAAAAGCACATCATCATTGGTCAATATGGATGGAAAAAGAATGTACGGAGTAATAACTAAATTTGACTCTTGGCAACGATGATGAAAATCATCCATAGACTATGGTCCATGGCTCCTCCATGGCCTAACCAATCTTAGGAGATCTATGGTTCATCCTTTTTTAGAAAAAAAACTACTGTAATTAAGATGAAGTGGGTTCTCATGCGTTTGATGGAATTCTTTTAACCCGTCTACATGAATCAAATTAAGGGCATGTTCGGTAGGGTTTGAAGGTATGAATGTGTGAAATGATATGAGTTCTAAAATTAGAGAGAAAACATGTACGTGTTTTGATATCTAAAATGAAATTGTTGGAGAGATTTGAAATCCTAAGCCAATTAGTGATAGGTTGGGTGGCCAGAAACACAGAAAATTACTCATGGGTGACGCCAGTTTTGTTGAAATAACTCTCAGGTCCCTCTATTTTCAAAAAGGCAGCAGAGGTCCTTACATTTTGTTGTAATAACTAAAAGGGGACATTTCATCCAATATTTCATCTATAAACGTTAATAAATGTATTTTTTCCTATTCTTTTCTAAATGTTTTAAGATAATAAATCTTAGGTCGCTCCTTTTTTTATTTCTTTGTTTTTCTTTCATTTTGTTACTATTTTTTAAATTGTTATTTTAAAATTTCTCCTATAAAATCATATAAAAATTCAAAATTGTTTATATTATATTAAAACAAATGAAATAAAAAAATTCTAAAAAAAGAAATAACAAGGTAATGGCAAAATAGGAAAAACGGTATTCAAAAAATAGATTTATTAACACTTACGAATGATGTATTGGATGAAATGTCCCCTCTCAGTCATTACAACAAAATGTAAGGACCTCTGCTGCCTTTTTGAAAATAGAGGAACCTGAGAGTTATTTCAACAAAACTCGCGTCACCTGCGAGTAATTTTCTGCCGGAAACAAGGTAGTTGCCAATGACACTAGTAGCCAGTCGACGATTGGGGAAGATATTTAACTCATATACGGAGTATATTTTTCAAATTCGAGAGATATCACAATCTTTCATTTAGAAGGTTTGAAATATGTGAATGTATCAAATCTTAATTCTTTCATACTATATTTGGTTCAAGGAATTTGAAAGGGAAAAGAAAAGAAAATGAAGTGGAAAACCATTTTTCTTGTTTGGTTAGAGGGGAAAAGAAAGGAAACGTGGAAGGAAAAGAAAATGAGGAGGCAAAATGTACCAAGTGGAGGGAAAATCAAATTCCTTCCATTTTTGTGAGGAAAATGAAAGAAACCATTTTCTTTTCTTTCCAAAATCCTTGAACCAAATATAACGTCCATATTTCGCCAAACATCTAAAATGAGTTATTATCTGAAAGAAACAAGTCCTAAGAGCATGCAAGAATTTTTATGTCTTATGCGCTCACCAAACCGACACTAAAGAATACTACCTCCGTCCCAGAGTATTTGTCCACTTTCATTTTTACACACCATCCAATACACTTCTTTAATCCATTTTATCTTGTAATTTGTATATTAAAAAAATATAGAAATTATATATTAATAATCTATATGTTAAGACAAATCAAACAAGATCACACATGACTATATTTAGGCTTACACATTAAGAGAATTTGATGAGTCAAAGTGCTTAGATGAACAGTTCCAAAAGTCAAAACTGGACAAATACTCCGGGACGGAGGAAGTATCTATCATGTACCGAAGGCCACACGATCCATACTGTCTTACCAAATTTTTATTTTTTATAAAAAAATAATAAAATTATGTTTATCTCATTAGCAAAAATGCTTATTTAATTTATATCAAAATGCTAATTTCATTTATATGAAGGTCCATCATAGATGAGTATGTCCATGCAAGAATTAAGTTTTTTTGAACAAAATGCACTTGTTTCATTCATGCAAGAATTAAGTTCACTGTTTAGTTTTTGATTAATTTCTTGCACGAGGTGTAGACTTGTCGGAATAATTGAAGGCTCAAATAATTAATCAAATCTGCATAACTAGGCTACATTTCTTTTACCAAAATTTTTACCAGTTTGGAGTCAAGTGCATACCAATTTCTCGGATCATCAAATATAATAAAGCAGGATATTTGAACAAAGGGTAAAACAAATGGGTAGTTACTAAGGCTCCGTTTGGCATCAACATTTTTGAAAAGGCTATCTGACGGTATCCTTTAGCTTAGCGTTTTCATAAATAATCTGCACCATTAACACAATGTTTGGTTCAAGGAATTTGAATGGGAAAAGAAAAGAAAATGGAGTGGAAAACTGTTTTTCATGTTTGGTTGGAGAGGAAAAGTGGAAGGAAAAGAAAATGAGAAGACAAATGTACTAAATGGAGGGAAAACCAAATTCCTCCCATTTTGGTGAGGAAAATGAGAGAAAATCGTTTTTTTCTTTTCCTTCAAAATCCTTGAACCAAACATAGAGTAAACGTTTTATCCAAAACGCTAACGCTAATCGAAAACGTTGTTCCCAAACAAGGCCTAAGTCCACCCATAATATTTCCCCCCCCTGAGATAGGCAGAAGGGCATAATTGACTGTTTTCAACAAGGAAGAAAGTTACAGCAAAAAGAGACAGAGTATATGAAATCTTCATCATATACATAGAAGAGATTATTATATTCATAAACATTAATCTGCAACAGTCACACATTGTTGCAGGTATGAAGAAAGTGTTACCAAGAGTTCCTCTGCTCTGACTCTCTCTCTTCCCCAGTAGGTTGGATTACTTGCAGGTTTCAAGAGAGTTCTAAAACAGTTCTAAAACAAACCCAGTCCCCTCTGCTTTTATAACAAACCCAGTCCTCTCTGCTGATGTGCCCACTCTGTCTCTTGCTTCAAGAACTTGCTTTGGCCTGCCAGGGGAGGGGGGGGGGAGCAAAACAGAAAAGAAAAACCCAATGAGGCAAGTAAAACCAGAAAATGAAAACATAAAATAACCAGCAAGATGTTCAGAGAAAACAGTGGCAAACATGTTGCCAAATTTGCAAGCTGAATACATGCAGTGAAATCAATCAACTACAAACACAAACAAGTTGTACTAAAGAGAAACAGCTAATTCTCTAACACTATGTTTGGTTCAAGGAAATAGGAAGGAAAAGAAAAGAAAACGGTTTTCCCTCAAATTCCTCACCAAAATGGGAGGAATTTGGTTTACTCTCATCTTAGTACATTTTGCTATCTCATTTTCTTTTCCTTCCACTTTCCTTTTCTTTTCCTCTCTAGCCAAACAAAAAAAATGTTTTCCTTCACATTTTCTTTTCCTTTCCCTGTCAAATTCCTTAAACCAAACATAGTGTATAAAAAACAGGAAAAGTGAACTAGGAAAACTGGAGCGCATTAGAAGGCACGCACAGAGCAAGAGCGCCTCTGAATGTCAACTTGGGACCAATACATCTGGTGGAAATCACAGAACAACAATCGAGTCCAGCACTCGCCCTATCTAAGTTAACAGTAAACCTACAGCAATAATAGCCACAAGAGTGTGTTCCAAAGTCATCATAATCGGTATACAAAAGAGCGAGTTCACCACCCCCAACATCAACCAATTCGAGATAAGGAAACGGTAGGGATAAAGGAAGCAATTCCTCCCTCACTAAATCCACCAGAGGATACTGACAACCTTGTTGTACATTGTAGCACACTAAACTGTAGGTGGGAAGCACAAGATTGTTGCCAAGATGGACAAAATGAGCTTTGTCCAACATAAAACCCTGCCCCCACAGAACATGAAGTGGCATCCCAGAGATGCCTGATGAAGACAAAGGCTCCACAGCAACCCAAGATTTGGATTTTGGTGTATATGTGTAGAACCGATCCGGCCACGAACCGAATAATTATACGGTCAGAATAAGCCTTCATCAAAAGCATAAAACCCAATTTTGAGACCAAAGCGGGTTTTCTCTCTTTCAAGCACTGAAATTAAAACAACTCTCTCTGTTGTCATTTTTTCTGTCTGAAACATGGATGGAATAGAGCAAAATGTATCAGACTAACAAAAATTAGACAAAAATAGTTAACATTTATCATACTACTAGAACAAAACAAAATCCCATAATTGAAATGAAATTTTATGCCCATAGGCATACAATCAATACATTTCCCGTTCAAAACTTAAAGCTTTATTTCTTCATTATGCATTTCAATTTTACCCCTTTTTTATAACGACAAATAAATCTCAAATAAAAGCTAATTAAGTAAGCGGGGCTTTTCAAGTTTATGAATCTTCTAACATTATTTTTCTCCTCTTACAAAAACCAGAGCTCCTGAGTCGCTCTTCAGTTCTTCGGCCTCAAGGTAGGTTTTAAAAAAATTGATACTCCTTAATTTGATAGCGGCTTTTGATGGCGTCAAAAAATAAAACCACCGACGGGTTCATCCGTCGGGAGGGACGAGGGGGACAGACAACCTGGACATCGCCGCACACAGGGGCCGGCGCAGGATGGACAGGCGCGCGTTGGAGGCCGTCTTACTTGTTACAGAGAATAATACGTAGTAAGATTAAGAGAGATAGAGTACCACAGATATCCACGATGCAGTGCCGCGGTGGTGGATCACAGCGCTCGCCGAAACGAAAACCTAATGCTGTATGTAAAATTGTAAATGGGGACTTGTCTCCACTAGACGCGTGCAAACTAGGAGTTTGCTATATAAATTATTAGTCCATTTACGTGGCGGGTTTGGTGTGGCTCGAATTTGATGGACTAAGACTCAGTTCATTCAACTTATTTTTTTATTGATTTGATTTTTTGTATTTTTGATCTGATTAGTTCTAATTTGATCTGGTCTTATCTGATTAGATCTAATCTAACCTAATTAGATTTAATATAATCTGATCTAATTATTTTTGTTTTGATTTAGAATTAAAATTTATAATTTGATCTTAATTTATAATTAATATTTTTTATTTTATGATTATTTTTTAATGAAATAAAATTAGTTAATTCATATATTAGAATAGTTTTTTGTACTTTTGATCTGATATTTTTTCATTCACATTTTATAATGTAATAACTTTTGATCTTTATCATTTTTGAGAAAAAAAATTGTGTCTCATATCATTTTATTTTTGTCTATATAAATTATAAGTGTACAAAAGTTTCATTTTCTTTCTTCTTATATTTTTAGAAGATAAATTAAATTTATTTTTTGAAAGAATCGTATAAAGTAAATTAAGTAAAAAGTATGAAATTTAAAAAGTATGGAGTAATAATGATAATGATAATGATAATAATTCATAATAATAATAATAATAATAATTTTTTATTGGATCTGATCTGATATGATTAAATTTGATCTGATTAAATCTGATCTAAATCTAATCTGATTAGATCTGATCTGATCTGATTTTAATAGTTCAACTCATTAGATATAATAACTGGAAGAGTGTCATTTTCCCCGAGGAACATGTACTTCAGGTGTGGAGGTAATGGCTCAAGCTCAACTGGTGGAGGTTTTACTATTGATGGGAGCAATCTGGTGGTTGAAACTGGTAGATCGATATATGATATGTTTGCTCTCCCCACCTTCTTTGGCAATACATCTAAGTACTCAATCATCTTTAGTATCTCTTCTTTTGGTGGTAATTCGAGTGAACTGTATGCTTTACTATCAAGACTATGCTCTAGAACCAAACCAAGAGTGTCGGTGGTTTCAAGCTCTACAACTTGCTCTGAGAGAATGTCTATTGCATCAATGGAGAAGGCCGCATCTTCACTTGGGTAGCGCATGGCCTCAAAAATGTCAAAGCGTACTGCATTTCCATCAAATTCCATGGTTAGAATCCCTTTAAAAACGTCAATTTTTGTCCTCGCAGTCCTTGAGAATGGTCTCACTAGCAGGATGGGAATTGGTTTGAGGTCCTTACAGTAAGGGCTCCTGTTGATCCCTCTGAAGATTTGAACCCCTAGGTACTTGAAAGGTAGTTGGCCCTTATGCATGCCAAGAATGTTTGAGAAGCTGGTTATTTTGAGGGGGGCGGGCGGGGGGAGTTTTGGGAGGTGGGTAGAAGCTGCTTTTGTCCAAATTGATCCTTTTCCCTGATGTTTCCTCATTTAGAAATTTCCTAAACTTAAGGAGGTTAGAGGAGGCTCCATTAAGGAAAATGATGAGATCATCAGCAAAGGCTAGGTGGGAGATAGGAAGAAAGTGCCTGCCCATTCTGAATTGCTGGATGTAGTTACTGTTCATGAGGGTGTTTAGTGTTCTGGTGAAGCCTTCAGAGGCTATGATGAAAAGCAGAGGGGATAAAGGGTCTCCCTGTTTGTGTCCTCTGGTGGGGGAGAAGGGTTTAGTGGCTTTACCATTAATGTTGATTGCAATTCTGTTGTTGGAGATAATATTGTTGATGAGCATAATGAATGAACTTGTGACTGAAACCAAAAGCCTCCAAAATGTCCTTTAGGTATTTCCAAGAGACTCTATCAAAAGCCTTAGACATGTCAAGTTTAATTGCTAGATTGCCTCCTCTACATTTGGTTGACAGTCCATGAAACATTTCTTGAGTAATCAGAATCTGATCATGGATAATCCTGCCCTTAACAAAACCCCCTTGTTCCGGGCTGATGATTTTGGGAAGGATAGTGGAGAGTCTGTTGACCAGGATCTTGGAGAAGGTTTTGCTGACAAAGTTGGAGAGGCAGATGGGTCTGTAGTCTGAGAAGCTTGAAGCATTGTCTTTTTTAGGGATGAGAATAAGGTTGGAGGTAAAGAGGGGTTTGGGGGGGGGGGGGGTAATGCCTAGGAAGAATTCCTGACAAGCTTTCCAAACATCTTCTTTAATGATGTCCCAACAGCTTCTAAAAAAATGACCTGTGAAACCATCTGGTCCAGGGAATTATCTGGATTGAGGCCCCATACAGCTTCTTTCACCTCTTCCATTGAAGGGAGGGAGGTGAGGGTTGTTGTCCTCAGTGATTAGGATTGAAGGGATGTTAGCGATGAAGTCACTGTGAGGATGAGTAGGTTCAGCAGTGAACAAGTTATGAAAGAAGTGGAGGGCTTCATCAGAGATGTCCTTCCAGGAGGTTAGCCAGGAATTGTCCCTCCCTTTGATGCTTGTAATGGACTGATGCATTCTTCTGTGTTTCACAAAAGCATTGAAAAATTTAGTGTTGAGGTCTCCTTTTTTGACCCACTTTAGGTTAGCCTTCTGTTTCCAGTAGGAGTACTCCCTTGGCACAAACTTGTTCAATTCTGATCTAGCTTGTTGCAAGAGGATGTTGTTGCCATCAGAGGGGTCTAAGGAAAAGGTGTTTTCTGCTTCTGCAAGGAGATTTTCATGGAGTTTTCTGTCTTTGAAAATGTTTCCAATGGTGGATTTATTCCAATGTTGCAGGACAATCCTGATAGAATTAAGTTTATTGGACAGCCCCCTCGTTCTCCCACCTTCATATGGCCCCCAGTTTTGAAGGATTAGGGGAAGAAAGGTGTTGTGGGAGGACCAGCAGTTAAGGAATTTGAAGGGAGATGGCCCAATGAAGTTGGTAGATTGGATTTTAAGCAAAATGGGGGAGTGATCACTGTTACCTCTAGGGAGATGAGAGGAATTGATCTGAAGGTTAAGGTCTTGGATATTGGAATTGTATAAAATTCTATCTATCCTTCTCCAAACTTTACCAAGGCTTTTGTTCCCAAACTAAGTATAAAGAGATCCAGAGAAGGGGGGTCAATCAGTTCCACAGAGTTTATGCAGTGATCAAACTCATTAATACTAGCAATGCAGGGGGGAGCTTCTTCCTTTATGATAGCTTATAGAGCTCATGGCATTAAAGTCACCTCCCATGATCCAAGGACAGTGAATGGAGTCTGAGAGGTGTGTAATGGAACTCCAGAGTTCTCTTCTTTCTTCCTTGGTATGAAATCGATAAATAACTGAGATTATGCAGGGGTGTTGAGCGGGGAGGAGGAGAAGTGGAGGGTCCCAATCAGGGAAGAGGTATGAGGCTGAGCAGTGGGGTCAATGGTGAAGTAATCAGATTTCCAGAAAGCCCAAACTTTATTATTACAGAAGGGTTTAGAGAAATCAAATCCAAGGCTTATTTGGTAATTGGAAATTTGGTTGGGGTTGCTTTTAGGTTCCATAAGGGCTAGGAAGTTGATATTAGAGTCTTTGATGAGAATAGATAGCCTTGGAAGGTTTTTAGCTATTCCTCTGATATCTGATATTCCAAAAAAGCATATTCATTGAGAGAGAAGGCTGAAAGAATTGTATGAAGAGGATTTCTATATATATATATATATATATATATATATATATATATATATATATATATATGGTGAAAAGATATTTTATTAAAAAAAGAAAAAAGAAAAGGATGGGGTGGCCATAAGCCCCAACAAATAGGCCAAGCACAAAGAAAACTCAAAGAGCACATGAAATGGGAAGAGTACAAAACATCCAGGGAGCATATAATCCAGAAGCTAAAACACAAAAACTGTCTTGACAAACCAAGTGTGGGTCAAGCTGGAGATTCCCAGCGAGAGAAGCTACTCCAACCCCTTCTCGTTCTATTTTGCAAACCAAAACTTACTGATATTTCCCAAGCCTGTAAAAGACTGTTATTGTTTGAGGGAGACTAACTCTTTTCTCCCTAACTGGTGCCATCTTCAATTTTAAACCTTCTTCCTCTAGTGCAGTATATATATATATATATATATATGTTTGGGACTTGTCGTGCGGTCCAAAACAAATTAAAAATTTATAAAATATCCTTAACTAACCCCCAATATATAATCAAATAAAAACTATAGTTAGGGCAAGTAAGGGTCGATCCCACGGAGAAAGTTTGTACTTTTGTAATCAAATTAGCATGCAAACACGTTGTCACGAAAATAAAACAAATAAAAGCTAACTAACTAATACACGTATGATAAGACGTATAAAACTTATAACTAAATAAATATAAAAACTTATAAATATAACTTATATAAACAGAGAACTTATAATATAACTTAAAATAAATATTTTTTTGGTTTTTTATTTTTTCTTATTTTTTGGTTTTTTTATTAAATGGGGAAAAACAAGCTCTAAAGATAATCATCTACTCCAACAAAAGTAACCCAAGAACACCACCAAGAACCCGAAACAAAATAAAAAATTAAAGAGAACAAACACAAATTGAACATTACCCGTATAATAGGCACTTAGACAATATATTACGTAACTTACGCACTTAAGAATAGAAAAAATCAATCAAAGGCCGAGTCGATTCATTTCCTTAACCACGATATGAAGGATTGTCAACTCTCCACACGGTCCGGAGTCATGCAATTCAAAGGCTCGTTTTGAAATATACCTTAGAACCCCAACTCTCTATTCAAGCATGAGAACATACTTCCATTATAGAAAAAGTTTATAAAAGAGAGAATCTATTATGCATTCAACTCTCATACATAGTCTATTCACAAACCGCCAATACCCTATGCATTTTAACAAACTTTTTCTCCTAATGATGAACTTAAGAAATCACAAACCGCCAATACCCTATACATTTTAACACTCTCCGCCACATTTCACAGATTTCCATGAACTTCTCAAACTAATGACGTTTTTTCTATTCACTTAGA